ATCTATCCATCTTTTCTTTATGTATCTATGTATCTATCTATCTATCTATCTATCTATCTATCTATCCATCTAAAGTTTTTGAACAGTAAGATTTTTTTTTATGTTTTTTAAGAATTCTCTTCTGTTCACCAAGCCTGCATTTATACAGCAAAAGCAGTAATATTGTGAAATATTTTTCCTATTTTAAATAACTGCTTTCCATTTGACTATATTTTAAAATGTAATTTATTTCTGTGATTTCAAAGCTGAATTTTTAGCATGGTAGTGTGTGTGTATGTATGTATATACTGTTGCTCTCTATTGAGTGAAGTAATCTTGTTAGTAGTGATCAGTAGTTAGTAGTTAGTCAGTAATCTGGTAAAAGTGGTTAAAGAAAGCCCACAAAATTTGGACTTTTTTTAGGGAGATCAACATGCAAACGGCTGACAGAGTTTTTGTGTCTGTAATCTATGAGATCTTTTCTAAGTGAGATTTTATGGTCTCTGTTTTAGTGAATTCCTCTGATGTCAGTCTGCTCTAGGGTTTCATCACTGTATAATCGTCCACAATCATGCTGAAGCTCATTGTCTCAACAGGCCTACACAATGATGTACAGTATCCCACCGAGGTGCTGTTTACTCATATCAGATCCTTCACAGTATAATTCATTCCTGCCCTCGAGGACCGTCTCGTTGGTTCGCCTCACCTGTCGAGGTGGAAAGCTGCTATCTCAGCATTATGCCTCTGAAAGTCGACAAAATAGAAGAAGTTCTCCGGAGTCTCTTCGTGTCGCTCCTGTCTGAAATCAAGAAGGACCATTTCTATCAGTTCAACCTAAACTGATGTATAATAATCTGTACATCGAAATAACAAAGTGTTACCTCATTGGTTTAAACATAGCTTTACCAAAGTCTTGGAGCTTCAGGGCCAACTTCAGGTGAAGACCGCTGGGTTTAACCACTGATTGGACATTCAGAATAAGAGAACACGGTTTTGTTTCCTTAATATGAATGTACAGGTATATACATACACACAGTATATACATACATACATACATACATACATACATATATATATATATATATATATATATATACACACACAACAGTTATTTCTGGTCCTCGAATCTGATTGGCTGATAAGAGTGCAATATTAGAGTGATAACAGAACTCCAACAATCATTTCACTGTTTGTATCACTCCGCCCAAATCCACTATAATGTTTAAAAATAATACTGTTTTAAGAGTTGTTTTGGGCGAGAATGTGCTTGTTTAGATGGTCTATTAATAAAAATAGCGTCTATTTGAAAATTTGCTTTGATGTTTTCGGAGACGTGAGCTCCAGTGCATCAGCGGCCATTATGCGCTCATAAACCCGCGGAGAGAGCGCCTCATCTCAGCCATATCTTCTGGAATTTACCGCTGGCTCTGATGTCTCTATTGTGGGTAAACATGAGATATATTTCGTTTTGGGTAAATCCGACAGGCAATCTTTGGTCTCATTCATCTATTATTTGTTCCAGAGCAAATAGTTTTGGCAAAATCTCATCATCTTTATGTAACTTCAATGCTATATATCAGAGCGCAGCTTTTGTACTTTTGACTGAATTGACTAGGAACTTTTATGATGGCTGTTGTTGTTTATGAAATATTATTAGTCATCATTACGACCGCAAACATCTTCTATTACTACTACTACAGTACACTTTTCAATTAATTAAATTAAAACAAGTATCTTTAGGTTTATAACGGGTCTGGATCTCATATTGATGAACAGGAATTTTAGTTTTTTGAGTAAAGCTGCAAATTCTTTCACTATAATGTCAGCTGCAATGAATTTTGCGTGCATATCATACGCAGTTTGGCGTACATATATGCACCTACCCCACACCCTTATACCCATTTTTGGTTTAGTCCAATAGTACGCCAAATAGAAACAGAAAATCGTGCCATTGAAACGCACTTTCATGAGATTGGGTTACGTACATGATGTAAGCGTGCGCCGGCCCGGAATGTTTAGTGCAAGTGTGAGTGCAGGCCAGCGGGGGAGGGGGATAATCACGCTTGGGCTTGGTTCAAGGCAACTGTGCCTAGTGTGAGTACACCCTTATATTGAAAGAAACTGAAACGCGGTTTTAAACAAGGAAGTTATTTTTATTTTCAACAACAGCTTGTAAGACGCAGCCAACAATTGCACTGAGCAGCTCTGTCATCGGAAATCACCCTTAACAGATGAAAGGATAATACGACAAAGATATCGCTTTCCTCAGTGGACATTCAAACTAATGTTTTATTGTGAATATGAGATTGAGATGAAGAATGAATGCTGTATAAGATGCAGGTAATCTCAGCTCTCATAATACTCTACTCCACTGCTTTTAATACAGTAATACAATAAGCTTTCAAAGCTGCAGTTTTGCCTCTTTGTCGCCATCTCTGTTTGAAACCTGCAATTGCAGTTATTTGTGGAATTATTTTCTTAACGTGGGTGTGCACCGGCAGGGCTCCAGCGCGGATGAATCTAATGTTTTGAGGTGAATGTCACCGCACCAGTGTGGATATTCACTGTACTTAGGAATCACAGATTCTAGCCTACGTCTTGGAAGTGTGTGTATATATATATATATATATACAGCGGGTAAAATAAGTATTGAACACGTCACCATTTTTCTCAGTAAATATATTTCGGAAGGTGCTGTTGACTTGAAATTCTCACCAGATGTCGGTAACAACCCAAGTAATCTATATATACAAATAAAACAAAACAAATAATTTCAGAAATTAAGTTCTGTGTAATAAAATGGAATGACCCAGGGGAAAAGTATTGAACACATGAAGAAAGGGAGGTGCAAAAAGGCATGGAAAACCAAGACACCAGCTGAAATCTATCAGTCATTAGAAAGCAATCCTGGCCCTCGTCAGTGGAAATTAATATTAGCTGCTTCAGTCCCAACACCTACAGTACCAGGATGATGGAGATAAAGCAAGGCTGGGCAATGATCCCAAACACAGCCAAGGAACCTCTCAACTGGTTTCAGAGAAAGAAAGTAAAGCTGCTAGAATGGTCAGCCACCTGACTTGAATTCTTACCCCTCTTCTGCTTCCTCTCACGCCGCTTGTGGCGCCTTCGCTCTGGGCGAGATGCAATAGTGGGGGTCAAACACGAGGAACCAGAACCCTGCAGAATAAAACACGAGGAACCAGAACCCTGGAGAATAAAACACGAGGAACAAGGTTGGTGTTTATTCTTCGTTCATCTTTAATGACTATTTGTGGTACATCCACAGATCCTTTATGTGAAAATAAGACCTTAACTATCATTAAAATGTCTTAAATCCATGTTTCAAAGTTCTTATGGAAATGTGACTGAACTGACATCGAGGAGATTTAATTATTACTTTAATTAGACTTTATTTAGAGTCATAAAACTGTATTGAACTCAGAGCGTGTGTTACTGAATTTGTTTTTACGCTAGTAGAAACCACATTTTAAAGCTGCAGACCGTAAGTTTTGCATCTTTGTCGCCATCTCTGTTTGAAACCTGCAATTGCAGTTATTTGTGGAATTATTTTCTTAACGTGGGTGTGCACCGGCAGGGCTCCAGCGCGGATGAATCTAATGTTTTGAGGTGAATGTCACCGCACCGGTGTGGATATTCACTGTACTTAGGAATCACAGATTCTAGCCTACGTCTTGGAAGTGTGTGTATATATATATATATATATACAGCGGGTAAAATAAGTATTGAACACGTCACCATTTTTCTCAGTAAATATATTTCGGAAGGTGCTGTTGACTTGAAATTCTCACCAGATGTCGGTAACAACCCAAGTAATCTATATATACAAATAAAACAAAACAAATAATTTCAGAAATTAAGTTCTGTGTAATAAAATGGAATGACCCAGGGGAAAAGTATTGAACACATGAAGAAAGGGAGGTGCAAAAAGGCATGGAAAACCAAGACACCAGCTGAAATCTATCAGTCATTAGAAAGCAATCCTGGCCCTCGTCAGTGGAAATTAATATTAGCTGCTTCAGTCCCAACACCTACAGTACCAGGATGATGGAGATAAAGCAAGGCTGGGCAATGATCCCAAACACAGCCAAGGAACCTCTCAACTGGTTTCAGAGAAAGAAAGTAAAGCTGCTAGAATGGTCAGCCACCTGACTTGAATCCAATAGAAAATAAGAACTAAAGGTCAGAGTTCATAGAAGAGGCCCACAGAACCTTCACGATTTGAAGACTGTTTGTGTGGAAGAATGAGCCAAAATCACACCTGAGCAATGCATGCCACTAGTTTCTCAGACAGCTGTCATTACCAACAAATGCTTTTGTACGAAGTATTAAATACATTTCAGTAAGCGTGTTCAATACTTTTTACTGTGTCATTCCATTTTATTACACATAACTTAATTTCTGAACTCATTTGTATATATAGATTACTTGGGTTGTTACCGACATCTGGTGAAAATTTCATGTTAACAGCACCTTTAGAAATATATTTACTGGAAAAAATGGTGACGTGTTCATTACTTATTTTACCCGCTGTATATATATATATATACATATATATATGCAAACTGATATCCAGTATAATGATTTCCACACATTCCTTTTTTTAAAGTTTTATTGTGTTGTGGTGGAAAACAGGATTAAAACTGTCAGGAAATTGCTGTAACACCTGACTCTGTTTGGACTGTGAGATCTTATTTTTTACTCCCCAGAGTCGACCTTTCAGCTGTAATAGTTTAATTATAGAGGGATCTTTACATAACAGGGCCTGCGGTGTACACTGTGCTCCAGCGCTGCTTTGTCTGAGGTTTGGGAAGCCGTGACAGTCTGCCGAACCCTAAACCGCACCGTCCAGACTCCTTTTAGCTCAGTCATATCAATAGTTCACAAACTCAACTATGCTCCAAAATAACACACAAGTGATGAGGGAAACAGAAAAACAACACAAGAAGTCGAGCCAAACAATAAAAAGCTTGTAGTTGTACTGTGCTAGGCCAAAAAGAGCTAAAAGGGGGAAACGTCACGTGATTATAGCATGGGGTTGATGTGTGAGATGCGGTTGCGAGGTTTTAACATCACTGTCTGTTACAGGACTGATGTTTACTCTAGACCGATCTCTTGAGTGACAGAGGTTTGTTTCTGAACGATTATAAAATGGCCTCATCTACCTTAAACCAGTGGCCATTCATTATGAAACACAGCGCAGAGTTTGTGAACTTACAATAACATATACTGGTCTTGCATCAGAGTTACAGCATATAAACTAGACGAGTATGATGGTTAACTGTAAATTACCTCAACTTATATGAAAAGTAAACATTTCATATATGCATGCATTCATATTACAACATATGTAAAAATGACATTTTAGAAGATGATACATGCAATTTTTATGGTAAAACTCTGTTTTTGAAAAGCTAAATTGAATTGAATTCCACAATATTATGGTGAAAGGTTATATTTACTTAATTCACAAAACTATGCATACATGTTTTATATACACAGGGTTGGTAGGATTTTTTAATGTTTTTCAAAGAAGTCTCCTCTGCTCACCAAGGCTGCATTTATTTTGATCAAAGATACAGTAAAATCAGTAAAATAGTGAAATATTATTACTATTTAAAACAGCCAATTTCTATGTGTTAACAGCATTTAAAAGCCAGCATGAATATAATAATATTAATTAATATAATGAGAATAAACATTTAAATATATAAATATCTATAGATACATATACACTCTGTTCTACTGCTGGAATTGAGGGGAAGCACTTTGCATGCATGCTGTGCTTCAAGACCAATACCTCATTTCATCCATATAACACACTGCTGTTCCAAATTTTGGGATCAGTAAGAGTTTTAATGGTTTTTAAAGAAGCCTCTTCTGCTCACCAAGGGTGCATTTATTTGATCAAAAATGCAGAAAAACTAATATTGTGAAATATT